TCCCAATACCAGTGTAAGAAATGACATCAAAATTAGGGAATTGAAATTAGATTAACATTGCAGTTAAAATTTCAGAGACAGAATATCTTAAATAACCCTCATGTCAAATTGTCAAAGGCAAGCAGAGCTAGTATCTTGATGGCCTACAATGGCTAGCAGGTTAACCTAGGATCATCATTAAAACTCACTATTTGTACTGTAAGATTAATCTACTGATAAAAACTTTATCTTTTGAACTTGGATATTGCACATATTTTAAAATTCCATGTCCTAATGATAACAGAAGACTAAACCGATGCTTTCCTTCCTACTTCTTCATCTCGCACAACAAATTACATATTAAATGTAAGTGATATGAGTTCATCAACCCTTTAAAAGCTGTCAGTATTCTGTACAGACTGCCTGTATTTCAGATTCTACGTCTCCATCAGGAATGAAAAGATTGTACTTCTGCAAGTCATTTTACAGACAGGGCTAGGACTGTTCTTTAGAGTCAAAAAAAGAGGGAGACCATCTACAGTCATCATTAGAATTTAGAGATATTGCTTAATCCCCCAGTCTCTAGTTATACGCGTACTACTGCATACCATTGCAAGCTATAGGTTTTGCATAAAGAGACAATATAAACCAAAAGTACAAATTCCTAATACCAAGATTGTAATGGCCACATGCTTGTGCTGTACCTGCTGGGTACGTGCAGTACCAAGATGACTGGCTCAGTCCCATCATGCCAAAAGGCTGAAAAAGTATTATTTATTACAGATATTGCTGCAACCAGATGACATGGATATGCTCCAAAAAACTGTAAACCTTGAGGACTGAATGGACGATACCTATCCGCACTCCACAAAATTTATATTACAGTATACTAAATGAAAAAATAAGAGTTTCAGGTGCAACAACAGGCAAAATAGAAAGTATAATTGTAAAAAAAAAAATGCCATGGGAAAAAATAGTGCATTTAAAAATTAAAAATAAAAGAAAGTTTATATAGTAATTTAATGACACAAAGTTTGTGATGATAAATGCTATTACATTACTGACATTAAGCCTATCTAAACGATAAGCGTAGTGGAAAAGACTCCTACCCAGTCACTCTCCTGACTCACTTCTAAGTGGGAATATGTCTTTTGGCCTTTTATGATCTTACAGACAGTAGTAAAGGTCAGCAGCGGTATCAGTCTCATGGAAAAATGGAGGATTGGAGAAGGGAACATGCAGGGGTTTGCATCTGCATTTATAGGTGAACATCAAACAGACAAAGAAGAAATACAAAGCTTCAGTTTATATCATTCATGATTTTGCCCTCTAAAATGATAGTAACATCAGTAAAGCAAGCAGATAACAAGAAAAAAAATAATCTTGTAAACAACTGAAAATATGTAAAGAGTTTAATTATACAAATACTTGTCTATCTAACGTCACATAACTTAAAATAAGTACTAAAACTTGTACCTTTACAAGGTACAAGAGAATGTTTTATGTGATGTTTATGGCGTTATTCACCACTTTTGAGACGAAATTCCCACTTGCAGTGTATTGTGAAAAAGTAAAATTTATTTGCTTCTTCTGGTAAATAAAAGTGAAGCTATATTCTGCCAGTTCCAGGGGTGTCAGCAGAACAGTTTCACCACTGTAGCTATATGTCTGTCAGTGCTCCGACAAAATTCATGAGAGGGTAACACAGAAGTCTAAAAGTACGGAAAGATTGAGTTCTTTTCAGTGATAGGCAGACAGGAGGAGGAAAAAAAAAAAAAATTATTTGACATGTCAAATAATTTGACATACTGCCCCTTTGGTTTGTTCTTCCTTGGGAAGTTTGCAGTGTATGATTTTTTAATGTGAACAAAGGCACAAGGAAGTTCTATTGAAAAAATAAACAAGACATTTACAACAATAATATTGGCAGATGTGTGTCTTCCTGGAACAAAGAACTAAAGAAAAAAACACTTCGAACGCAGAGATTTGTGTTACGTCCATGGCAATTCAATACAACACAACACATGATAGTTCTGAAGAAATTGTTTTCTTCCACTGTATAAGACATTTTAGAGACTATCCTCTTCTTGAGAATCATAAAATGAGTAGTTTCATGAAGACTGAATTTAAAAAAAAAAAAAAATCATCAAAAGACGAAATCACCATACAAAGGAGTTATGATCTCATCTGCATGGAGGCAAAGTGAGTCATTAAAAGGAAGCCATAATACAAGACAGATTTCCTGTCCAGCTTCCTCTGACCTCTGTTGGCAGAGCTATTTTCCTCTTGCAGTAAAAAGTGTGCCTAGAAATTGTTCTGCCCACTCCGTCAGGAGAATACAACTGACATGCTCGTCAGTGGCACGGGATCACACCAGGTATGCTTATCAGCACACATACTTGACAGTCCTCTGATTGATATGACTTATGGGGAGTCCTCCAACCCAGTTTAAAAATTTCACTCCAACAGCAACACAGCATTAAGTATTACTTAAACCTTGCTTAATCAGCTTACTAATCTTTGATATAAAATATCAATTTGGATAATTAAATTATTATAGAAAATTGAGTGATCTTAAGCCTAATATGCTACTATAGCCACACAACAAGGTGTGCTGTGAATTTATATTACACCTTAAGACTAAACTTCCTGACTTCCATCCAGTTCAATAAGCTCCTTCCTGTTATCCTAATATCAAATTTTGTGAGAAATCCCGTACCTGAACAGTTGTTTTCTATTGAGAATTACCTTACACAGCCATATATAAAAACAAACATTTGTTGTTGTTCTCTAACACTCTCCTATTGCATGACTACTGACAGGTTTGAGATTACTGTGTTGGAACCTATTTTCGTGTGACAGCCGCAGTGCAGATGCTTGTAGATACACTGGTGCTGAATGCTAATCACTACTACAGCCTGGGAACAATTGCCAGCTACGTCACTTATCACTGGAATGAACAGAAAGGCCTTAATTGCCTTTCATGTGCTTTGTGCTTCCTGCTGGAATGGCTAGAAACCACTAGGAAATACTAGGAGGCATAAAATAATTATAAATCAGTAGGAATTTCAAGGGTTCATGATAAAAGTAGTTGCAAAAGTCACTTAAGGAACTCACTACACTTCATATATAGAAATCTAATGCTGTTCAAAAGAGATCTTGGTTATTTGTATGAAAACTGAATTGAACACAGGTTATGAACAAAATGTAGCAAAAGATGTAATGTGGGATATAGTCAGGACACATTGCCCTTAATTTGTATATGCAGCTATATCACTTGACAATATTCTCATAGAAAAACTTTCTGTAAAAATAGGTATTTTTAGCTATTAAACAGTCATTTAAAGTGTAAAAGCTACACTATCATTTTCATAATTCAAAATTCATAGAAGAGCTGCAAAGTAGATACTTCTCTGACGCTAATTAAACAACATGCTCAAACAGTATTTCCTGTAAATAAAAGCGCCTCTTCCTTTTCCTCCAAATAATAATCATCAGCATATACTCATAATTTAAAAAAAAGTGAGAAAGAAGACACAGAAAAGAAAGATAGTAATAACACTTTTTAAAAAGATCTGTGCGCTCAACCTTTGTAAAACGTTCTAGTTAAGCTACACAAAATACTAAAATTAAGAGAGAGATAATAAACGTTGAACAGTTCATAAAATACGTCTAGCTGTTGGCAAAGATTTTATCTTTGTCGTTTAATGATGATTAAGCCAAATAACTGTTGTTGGAATGGAAGCAGGCTGATGAAAAAGGCTTTTAAATTGAAGTGAGGGATACCACAATTTGTATTTTTCTTAGTAGTTCTTCCATCTGTACAGTTTCTCTCTAAATTTCATTACTTTCTGTATTAGATGTCCCTTTCAACAGATAGCCATGTGTTGACCAAAGACATACTATTTTAATATGCTTGCGTTCTGTTGTATGTTAAATTGCTTGTTCATACAGCCAGCAAGTTCTAAGCAGTTCACAAGATGTCAGAGGACCAGTAATTAATAAGCATGTTAACTTCCAGGGAAAATGAGCTTGCTGTGAAGAAAACTTTTCTGGTATTTGATCTAATTTGTGCAAGATCGGATAGAAGCATTCAGCTATCTTAAGATTGTGTGTTAAAAACTGTTAACACATACTGAATACTTACATTGTTTGAACACAAAGTACATTGTTTAACAGTACATTAAAAAAATTAATAAGGTATTCATTAAGCATGAATCCATTCTAAAAAACACGGTATGAAGTAATTTTAACAATTTGCATAGGGAAGGCAAAAAGATACACAGTATGATAATTTGTGGACATAATGAACCAGAGAGATTTCTTTTCCAGTTAAAAGAGAAACAAATGAGTGTAATTTAAACACTGTTAAAAGCACAGCTTATGCATTTAAAAATAAGACATGAATTAAACTTACTTAGATGTGTTTAGTATGTTTTTAGAGACAATTTTATGTCATTCTTCATCAATACATTTTAATTTCAAATCTATTTTTTTATTACATACACTATTTAAATAATGCCCCTGTGTTACTGTCCACAAACACATTTCAAAATTCTTAAAGTAAATAGACAAAGAAAGGAGTCTGTTTGCCGTTCCTAGGTTGATATCCAGCTAATTAAACATAGTTTTAGGGGTAATTCCATTATAATTTATAAGTGATCCAGGAAGTAAATACGTGTGTGCATATATACATAAACATACATATACCAAGAGTTACTTTGTCTACAGACACCAGCGTGTATCCTTGCTATTTATTAATCAAATCAAATTTAAAAAAAGACTATTTTACAAGATACTTTGCTTTCATCAGAGATTTAAAAAAAGACAACAAAACAAATTAAAAGAAGAAAAATGTTTTCCATTCAATTTACCAATTTCTAGTAAGAGTTAGATATCTATGGTTATGGGTGTATATATGTGAATGAACGAATAAATCCTTAACCCACCATATCTTTTTCTCCAGTTTGCAAGCTGTCACCCGTGAAAAGTATGGTGTAGATGGTAGGATGATACTGTACCTGATTGGCTCTGGAGGTGGTCATGGGATCAGATGGAGAGGACTTGGTGGTAGTTGGGGAAGATGGCAATGTCTGGGAACAAAGCAGTTCAGGAGCAAATCAACCTTTACAAGCCTTAGACTGAACAGTTAAAAAAATAAATAAACCAACAAAAGTAACATAACTAGAAAATTAAAATAAATAAAAAATGCCTAGGATAAAATCTTTCTCCTACTCATTGGAACTTAATGGAATTTAAAGTCAATTGGATAAATAATGCATGTAAATATGCATGCTTATGCATGTAAAAACAAATTCATGACTTGAAATTAAGATGGTGAAGTCACATAAATACTCAAACATATGCTGACCACATGAGGAATATATTCTTTCCTCTCTCCTCCTCTTGGGGAAAATGAAGACTATAGTAAACAAAAATTCCAGCAAGTTCAATGAGCACACTAGAAACAGTCATCAGTCTACAAACAAACAGGGCCAACGTCTGAAAGAAGTTAAGAGACATTTACTTTGGTACCCTATAATGCACCATTCTATAGCACGGACCATAGCCAGCAAACTGTTTTCCAGATCTTAGAATAATTACACTGAAGCTACTGGGTTTTTAGCAATAGACTAAATACTAAAATATTCATTGATCTTTTTTAATCAAGGGGCAGGTGAAAAAATGTAAACATCAATTGCATGATGGATGAACATGCAACTAATACCTTCACAACAAATTACTACAACATATTTATGATTAGCGTTAAAAATGTTCATTTAGTTGAGCAAAGGTTAACAACTTATCAGGCCTGTGTTCAAAATAAACACAAAAAAGAATTAAGAGTCATATTTATTGATCATGTTTTCTATATAATATACATACGCTTAACATTAATTCTTGAACATATCAGAAAAGCACTGCTCTGTTTAAAATTTTTATATACACATTTCTTTTTTTTAAAAAGTATTTGATCCTGACAGAATAACTCTTCTCTTTATAAATGTAGTGAAAATGTAAAATTCCAATTTTCAAAACATAACATACAATACTATTCAGAGCATGTTTTTTGACATCTTTGTAATATATAAATATTATAAGATACCCAAAATTACACTACCTTTACTTTAAGAAATAAGATGTTAAAATGCTATACAATGTGATTTATCATATGGTCATATAGTTAGAAGAGAAAACTATCTAGAAATAAATGAAGCAAAATTTCACACTTTCAGCTGTTTCCGTTACTTACAATCATTGACAGTCCCTCATAAAATAGGTATACATACTTTTGCACTAAAACTCTTAATGCATATGAGAAAGCTGGACACTGTGAATGCATAAAGTTGTGTATTAGCAAAATACGGGCTTGTACATATGCACACACAAATATTTAAGTTGTATGTTAAGCAATTTGAAGATCCATTTTTTCACAGTTTGTACATAAACAAGCAGCCAAAACAGGAAAAAAAATATCTTAAAATATAGATCCTTGTTTTGTGTTTCCAACTTGTAACTCGTTATAGAACAGTAAAAACAAAAATAAAACATATACAGCTTAAGCATCAACTGGGACTTTTTCAAGAGGTTTAAGTAAAAAATACTACCATGTATAGAGCATTATGAAAAATATGTAGCTTGACAAAATGTTATTGGTAGCAGACGTTATACATTGTGAAAATCAAGACAATTATAAAGAATTCTCCCATGTCTTTCTGTACAGAACATGGGTCCATTTCGAGGGGTTAGAATTATTTAGGAAAAGAAATGTCATATTCCACGATTGTACCTGGCTAACCCTATTCATTTATACTTCTGATTTTAGTGGGATGATGCAGTATCTCTCTTACTAAAGTCTGAAGTTGTAATGAACTGATTTTCATTATTTGAACTCTAACAGGAAAAAACCCAAAAAACCAAAATCAAACAAAGAAAATAAATAAATAAATAACCTCCCCCCAAAAAAACCACACACAAAAAAAAAAAGCCAGCCAAATAGAATGGAGGACTAACTTATCCTGATAGCTTTTCTTTACTATAGTTATATACTAAACTCTCATCCTGAAAAAAAAAAAAATGTTACTATTCTTCAGCAAAACTCCGAAGCTATAATTTGACTAAAATATTTCAGTTATCTGATAGCTTGTTTGATCAGCACCACTGCTAACTAGGGAGTACTTTATTGTATATTGTTTTGGTATGCTAGGCTAATTAATAAAATGAAAGATAGTTTATTCTTCACAAGTGTTACTAAGTGTAACCAGTGGATTTATAAGAAAATATGTAGAATACTTCAACACTCTATAATGATCTAATCACTGATACCACAAGTAATTCAAGAAACTGGAAGCATCTCAGTTTTCAATTCATATCAATCTTTCTAAAGCACAGAACTATATGGCCGCATTGAAAAAGAAGTGACAATAATTTCAGGTTACTGTTGAACTATAAAATCCATTAAGTAGAAGCATTTTCTATGCCATTTTAGCAAAAGCTTTTTTTTTAAGTACAATGGAAAAAAGATAAAAACATTTAAAAGCAAAACAACTGTATTAACAAACAAGAATAAAGTATGGGCATAAACGTTTTTTCCAAATATACATATCAATGATAAAATACTGAAAACAGCAATAAGGTTTTTTGTTTTGTGTTTTTCTTTGTACATCAGTTTGGTTTTGAGGCTTAATCTCTACTACTTTGTTTACTGACATAACTGCTTTTATTTTTTTTATATATATCTACATATATATCTATAAAAGTGTGCATATACATATATATTTTCATTACTTTTCATGTTTTTATATAATTCTGGAGACATTAATTTATGGAGACACATTTTTTTATTTCTTCAATATTAAAGCAACACAAAGTGATTTCTCAAAAATAATAATGAAAAAATCCACCACAGGCATTTGGATTTTGTATTGAATTTCCACCAGCTGATAAGTAATTTATTGACACACTCTCAATTGCTTTGCAAGAACTTCTAGGCAAAACTACTTCTTAAAGAAAGTTGGACAGAGCTCAACAATTTTGATTTATTACGCAGCACAGAATAATTTTCTTAAAATTTGGCAAGTGTTTTGCATTATGCAAGCACTTGAATTTAGTAGTTATTAGGCTTCTGAAAACGAGATGTAGAAAGTGATTAGAAATCATAAGATGAATTTACATGACAGAGTTTCAATTTTTGAGACTGAAACATGCATACTATATTTGAAGATTTCCTGATACTGCAGGTTGCCTGCTGGCAAGGTTATAGAAAAAAAGCCAGTCAGAATTTCTACCACACACCACTTCTAAGACTCGTGAGGTTTTTTTAAGCTGTATCTTGAATAGTATAGTCCAAGACATGACGAAATTGGTCTTCTCTGTTTTCTCAAATATTATTTCCTTTCTTGCTACTTATGAGACAACGAATGGAAGACTGTATTTACAGGTAAGAGAGCATTGTTTGTTTTTACTTTAAGCTTCTAGAACAGAAGTTTGAGATAACAGATTTTATGTAATAAAATATTTTAGAAATAAAATTATGTTTGAACCATATCTGAGTTGTAGTATTTTCTGAATGTCCAGGAAAAGACTTCTTCCTTGTGTTGTTCACAAGAATAGATTATACTGCGAGAGATTGCTCTCAGGCTGCACAACATACTAAAGGGTGCAGAAAGATAGTCAAAGCATCATACTTCCATGCATCATATTTTGAGTAGAAGAGTGAAGATACACCTGTATCACAGCAGTATAGAATACATATACTTCATCTGCACAGTGTTGCAAAAGGTCTCTGAGCCCTCTTTCAATGACTTCATGAATTGCTTAATGCAGACCTATGTATAAATGACAACTCACACCTCAAACATATATACACTAAAAAAATTTCAGTACTTACACCCTAGATAATAAATCTTGCACTGAGACAGTTAACTGAATTCTCAGTACCTGTTAGTATATTTATATAGAGAAGAGGAGAAAGAAAAGGCAGAAAATTAAATACTACTTGAAAACAGGGTTAAAGACATGTAAACATGTAAAGAACACCATTTAAATGTGAAGATGAAACTGCATTCACAGCTTACCAATTTCTAGCTTCTCACTACAGGGCTTGCCAAACAAAGGAAATCTTGGTAATAACATTACCGACATTAAATTACTATTAATACTAAGCTAATACTGAGTTTCAGTCTTGTATATATTAATAGTGGTGCTTTTAAATCACTGAAATTAATGTCATGACAAAATGAATTTGCTTAAGCCAGTATTTTAATGCACTTTAAGAAAAGGTGGCATGTTTTTTGAATTGTATTAAATAGTTGAATACCTTCTGCAGTTAAAACGAGAAACAGAGAGCACTGCAAGGCCCCATTGTGCTGAACAAAATAAAAGACTGACTTACTAGACTTTCAACAGTATCAGAGGTGAGCCTTTCTGAACAGATCACTTGCTTTGCTAAACATATTGAATCATCTTTTCATCTGCTGTGATCTCCTTTAATCTGTAAATTTGGCAAATGATTCTCATCTCACTGATGACTGCATAAACATACAACACATTTCAAAAATGAAATTTGGAAAAAGAAACAATCAAGGATTAATACTTTATTTGATGACTTCAGTGATCTAATTTTACTTGCTACCTTTTCACTTCTGCAAAGAACAAATAAAATACATTCTGATGATAGTTTGGCCTCTTTGCATTTGGTTTTGCTTTTGTGCAAAAGAATACACAGGGCATAGGGCAATACAAAAAGACTAAACAAGCAAGCATATACAGATGTAACGCTTACCTATAGGTGTCTATAATGGTAATTTATCTGTATTTATGAACTCTGCAGGACTTGTCTTCGAAAAATGAAAGAAGTGTGGTAAGTATGATGTAAAAGAACGATTATTGCACATTTTGTCTGGGGACAAGAAGGGGTAAGAAGCTTAAAGCAAACCCGCAGGTGCCATTTGGATCATCAGAACAAATCTGGTTGGAGGGAATAATTTAGGATGAAGATTACAGTAAAATGGACAAAGAAAAATCAAGACTATCTCTTTCCTCAAAACTTGTCACAGTAAGACAGAACTACTACAAGATCTGGTGTTGTTAT